GCAAGTTACAAATTTATTAGGCTTGATCAGAAAAAATGCGGGGGTTGGTACATCATAACTCCTGCAATGTTCCGCTCGTCCCTTAGTTTTTGGCTTTCTTTTTCTCGCAAGTAATTTGTGATGGCGGGCACACATACGAACCAACCCTGGCCTACGCGCCGGGCTACCAACAGGAAGCGTGTTCATGGGTCATTTTCAACCTCTTGACAGGTTCCACATACTGTACGGCGTCGCCGTTATTGAATTTATTTTATGAAAGGCTCGCTTGGCAAAGTTCCCCATTCATCAAAATTTAACTAAGCAATTATCACACAAGGGATGCCAATCAATACGGAACCTCACACGATTTTTCTTTCGTGAATAATTTACTCCCTAGATCCTTAAAAGGCAAACCTGCATGAGGAGGCTCATTCAAAAGTTAAGGAGATGCATAAGTGCCTGGAGCTGTGCTCCGCGGGGTAACTCTGACCACTCGATACAAAAAAAGGGCAAGAAGTACTTACTGCATGCACAGTAAGAAATAAACATATTTTAACTTTAATTTGTGCATGAAGAAAAATGTGGTATACTCGAGAACTACAGAATCCACAAGAAACGGAATCACGCCTGCAAGTGAAGGCTGAGACACGATGAACTAAAATCATCAGCCGTAGCGATGGATTTGAAGAAGAGCTCCGTGAGTTTGAGGACCTCTGTTCTGGCTCTGGATAAAATACATGTCCTGATGCTTATAGCTTGATAATAATTTGTTTCTGATTTGCACCTCTTTTAAGAATGTAAGGCAAATTTTAATGAAGAGTTTATTCCTAATGCGTGAGATGTCGAGGCTTATTTTTTTCGAAACGTCAAAATCATGTGTGACATAACTACATAAGTAGCCTCGCGTAAGGGATTTAGCTACATGAAAGGACTCGATCCCCCAAGAAATGCCTTTCGTCGTTGACTGGGGAGAAAATTTGCAACTGACGCTCTTAGTGAGGCACTTACACGTTGGGGTTTTTTCAATTTTTTTTTTATCCTGGAATTTGGAAGCTCCTCGTCCATCAATGGAAATTTGTGGAATCCTTCCGATTTGTCATCGCAATAAGTTTCATTTGAGTATACTTGCTACTAAGTTTGTTTAGTGATTTGAATTCTAGGACTGTAATTTGCTGCAATTAGACCATCACCTGAAAATCCATGAAAAATTCAAGGGGAGCAGGTAAACTTCATATCCTCAATGAGACGGGATGCCCTTTCAACTCTGTCTCGTTTCCAGTGCAAATTAGGGGAGCAAATTGGGAACAGTAGTCAGAAAAGAATGGAATGCTCTGCAAAAATTACGCGCATCTACATCCATCTGTCCGAAACTCCAACCAGACTAACGGAACTCTTATTGATGCAAGGTTTGAAAAGGCGAACAAAATGTAGTTGCATGAAGAATCTCGATGTAAATTAAGGCATTAGAGGCCCCGTATCACTCTCCTTTCTGTACACGTGTATACTGCACTGCACTTTGCTTAAACATGATGACGAAAAATGTGTGTGGGGTTGCTGCAGGTATGAGGGCTCATGAATCGAGGCTTTGAGCTCTGACTTCCTTCCTTCCTCTCCATCGACCGCGGAGTTCAGTGTCATTCAGAAATGGACGTGCCGTGCAAATCCACCTGGCGACGGACCACCCGTCGTCAAGGTCCGCTCATGTATTTCATGCTTTCCCAAACAACAGCTAGCCTGCGAGTTTACAACTTCGCCGGAGACCCCCTTGGAAGGCATGAATGAGGTCTTCGCCGCAAAGAAGTTCCCCTTTGACAACCGCGACACTCAACTCCTTCAGCATGCATGAAGAATAACTCGACCGCCGAACAACGGAATAAACAAAGCTGGATTTTCATCTCGCAGTAGATGTCGATCTCTAGGGAACCCCGTGCAAAACTCATTTGCGGAGATGGAAAAATACGCTGAAATTGCAATAACCTAGGCTGCACAAGCATATACCCTCGTTTGCTATTCAACAGCACGCTTTCTTTACGTCTATTTTTCCCTCATCAGAAGTCGCATCCGAATGCTCCCTTCTCACGCGGCGAGGTAAATTCAATTTCCTCCGGTGTTCCAAGTTTATCATAATGCGTTCCCGCTTCGTATTCCTCAGAAATAAAAACAATATAAAAAAGGTTGCAGGGCAGATGCGAGTATTGTTCAAGATGACTTACTCGCAGCGTCGTTGAATGCGTTGGACGAGAGGCTTGTCGAGCAAGAATCAGTCGGTCACGTGCTCTCAAGGACGCTACACTGCTAATCACGAACTTGTTTGACGAGGACTGCAATATCCGGGCAATGAAATCATTCAGTTCAGTTCCGCCTCGACGAGTCAGATTCCACGAAACACTTGCCGACTTGTTGCGGACACTCGCCACGAAACTGTCGAAAGAAACTATGATGAGAAACGCTGGAGGGTTAGGGGGAGGGGGGATATTGTGCAACAAAAAAAGGGGGATGCGGAAGTAAAGAAAAAGTAGATCTGCGATCGCCAGCAGGTTTGCACGAGGTGCCGCGAAAACGCTGTTTGACATCACTCGACCTACCGCGGTCCGCTGCTGAGTGAATTCTAGTTTTTTGGCGCAACTCGTGTTACACCCAGGCTCCCCTCGCTCGCTGTCGGCGGGCTCAACGCCTCGAACCGTTTCCCACTTGCAGGCAAGGCCTTCGCAGTAAGTTCAGGGCAATGGTGTATACAGTCTGCAGAAGGCTGTAGCGCGGGGGGACGCAGTGCAGTTGCTTGCATGGCATGGCACCCGGCTGCTTCTCTCACTGCAGAGCTTGTCTCCCGAGCTGCTGAACATCCCTCGCGGATCGCGATGACCGGCTTTGCACTTTAGGGATCTCGCACGACGACTGGGGTAACTGTCCGATGGCTCCCTGCAGTCGAAGTCAGCATGTCATCCACAAAGCTGTTTATTGCTACATTAAGCCAACTTCCCGGACGCAATCACGGAGCATCTTTTCCCTCTGATGTCCTCCGAGTTCTTTTGTGCCTCTACTACCTTCTTCCCATTAGCCTGGTCCTCCGTCACGCTCATCGGCGTATTTTCACCGAACTCCCGTTAGAAAAAAAAGAAGCTGCATTCACTCTACTATATAGGCCACACTCCTCGCCTCCTAATCAAGGATGATATGGTTCATACTATAGATATTCGCGTAGAAAGGCCGCCGTAATGAAAAATGTGACTCACATTTAGAATTACGGCTTATTACTGCTGTTGAATTCGATTTGAGAGACGGAACAAGCAATTTCTTGCGATTTGAATGGGTAAAAAAAATGGAGCATTGCTCAGCTCGAAACCTCCTGACTGAAATGCAAATGCCAAAAAAAAAAAAAACCGGTCTGATTGTTTCCGAACAAGGGGGCTTACAAGAATATGCTTTTTAATAAATTAAAGTAGATTTGTTTAAGATTTATTTTCAATTTATGACTATAGATATTACAATTTTCAAAGTATAACTTTCCTTATTCTGGAAATTTTGGAAAAAATTTCATATCTTCAGATATTGGGGTAGATTTTTCATTTCAAGTGTCCATAACGATATTAAAATTAAAATAATATAAATATATAGACGATACAATTTAAAAATAATATTTTCAATATTTTGGAAATTTTGGGAAATCTTGAGATACAGGGGCAGAGCTTTGGTATTTCAAACGTCCATAACTCAAAGCGGCAAAATTTCAGGGAATAAATATTTTCGATTTATCGGCCAATTATTTTCAAACCATCAGAAGCAAATCATACGTGAGAAGGTACGAGGGCAGTTTCATAAGTTTTATTAAAGATGAGTTTCCTTAGGGCCAGGATAGCATTTCGGCAATGAGGCCTGTTGGAAGAAAAATACAGGAATGGAGTTCAGTGAGACACAATGTCAACAGATAAAATTTTGTAGTACTCTTTTTTCAGTTCTCTGCAAGCACTAGGCTATTTAAAACAAGCCAAAATAAGGTTATCGGAAAGCATTCACAACCCTAGCCTGCATATGGATGCAGTGATAGTCTTTTCATCTGAAATTTTTGAATTCGTGAGCATAAAGTTACTCTTGCCGGGAATGCAATAAAAAACCCGCATTAATTGTCAAGAAAAAGTTATCTTCGAGTCTTGTTTTTGATCCCGAGGTGGTTTATATGATTCAGACTCAAATCTTGGAATAACTGAAGAATCAATTTTGCAAACATTTTGAACTATCCCTCGGAAAAAATTTGACCGATTCAAAAGCTAAGAATTTATGGGTGAAACATGAAAATTCTCGGACTCCATCTCGCATTGAATTTTGCGGCGTAACACGCTCGAACGTACCTCGTTTTTTCGTCAACTTGTAATCCTGATTCTGTTCCCGAATGAGGTAGGATAAAAAAAACTAGATTCCGAATCGCAGAGAATCGATCTTGCTTTTGTTTTTCTTGTTATGCTGAAATCAAGTTAATTTTAAATAAAGGAACTCCTGCTTTCTCCGTGCCACGTGAGGGCGAAGAAGAAATGTATTTAAGGCCTCCGCTTTCGAAATGTTCTATTTCTCCGAGATCCTTGATGCCGCTTGTCTGCGTCCATAAGCTCTTGAAAGGTCATCCCGCGAAGTAGTCAGTGTTCCTGCTCACTTTAAACAGTTCATCATTAGCATGTGTTTCGTTTCGTAGTGCAGCATAGATTCGCCTTGAAATATTTTGTCAATGAGTGAGTGAAAGCGCCGTTCCTGGTAGTGTTTCCTGGAGTCCGTTCATGTGCCTCGTCGTGAAATCTTAATTCTGCATTGTGACGATGGACTGCTTTCATGAGCACGTCAACACTCGTGACGTATCGTTTTCTCGAAACTAGATATACTCAAGTGCTATGTTCCGGTAGGTTTTAATCTGAGAACGCGGTGTCATTTTTATCACGAAGAGACAAACGAGTAATCATGTACATCCTACGCATTTTACTCAATGTTTGCTGCATCATGCTAACGCGTGAGTATTTCTCAATTTTTGCACGGAAATGACTGTATGCGAACCGGACGGGATGATGAATCGAGATTTTGTTTACCTGCATGCGAAGCATTCACGTCCGTTCGATCTAACGTCATATAGACGCTTGAAATTTTGCTCTTAAATGTATGACTCATCGGGGCAACAAGGAAGAATTCTTCTAAAACTGAAGCTTTTCAAACTTCGAGTATCATCTACTTGACAAATTTTTGCTCATTTCGGCAGTGATGAGATTTTACATTTTAAATTCTCTCGCAAGTTATTCGACGTTTGTTTCAAGTTGTCTACGAATTTTTGCGATATTTATGATGAATCATTAAAGTAGAACCTCCCAATAAACTCGAGGTTTTTTCGGCAGAATTACCGATCACGTGGTGTAAATGCTACGATGGGGCAATAGATTGCCGCGACTTGAAGTCGTCGGGGAAATTTGGAGTGGAGCAATGTATTGGATCTGATCAAGTGTGCGATAAAGTGGAAGATTGTACTGAAGGAGAAGACGAGGATGACGAGCTGTGCCTCTCACGCAGCCGTAGAAAATGTATAGTACTCCTTTTTTGTGTGCCAGTTATTGCTTACGTCGGTTCCGAGGTATCGTGTCAATCTATTGATCGCAACCTCGTTACCATTACGTTCCCAGTTTTGGCATCTGTTCCGCGGTCGTCGCTAGCTAGCAAGTCCTCCGCAATTTGTCACGACTCGGATTTGAAATGTGGCAATGGTCGTTGCGTGTCCCAGCTCTTTTCATGTGACGGGAATGACGACTGCGGAGATTCCACCGACGAGAAAGACTGTCCTTCGGGGATCAGGTTTGACTCGAAGACTGGTAAATCGAGCCGGTGCCGGAAATCTGAGATCAAGTGTCCAGAAGACCCGAGTCAATGTATATTGAAGGTAATTTCGATCGCGCGACTTCGGACATTTTTGTCGACGCCCAGTGTAGGAAATCCCATTCGGCCGAAAATTAATTTGTCTTTGGCTAGCGAATAAGTTCAATAATTTACTTAATTTTTTGCATATTACCCAAATTTGATTTTCAATCTCAAGGTCCGAAAACCTTCCCTTTTAAATTCCAAATACTGTACCGTGAAACACGGCACAAAATAATTTGAACAGTCCCGACTCAGCTTAGCTGACTAAATCGTCAAGCGTAATGGCCTCGCTGGCAAGTCATCAAGATAATTCTTATTCTAGGCGTGGAAATGCGATGGCAAAGCAGATTGCCCTCGTGGAACTGACGAATGGAACTGTTCGTGCGATGGCTACAGGTGCTCCAACGGCTTGTGCATCGCGTCTAAGTGGCGTTGCGACGGCTACCGAGACTGCAGCGACGGTGCTGACGAGCTCGGCTGCGGTGCGACACGAGAAACTCATTCCCCGCGCTGAATTTTAAATGCGTTTGATTTTTCGCAGTTCACAAGAAATTGTCGGAATCGAGCAAGGACTGTCTATTTTGGTGCAAAGATGGAAGCAAGTGCCTACCAGCGCACCATGTATGTGATCACGAACCGCATTGCGACGACGAGAGCGACGAAAAGGGAGACTGTGGTATGATGAGAAATCGGGTGAGAAAGTAATCTTTTGCGGAGTCGATTTTTTTTTGTTGCTTCCTTAGACCCGCGGCATTGTCAACACAGCCCCTGTGAGCACAGCTGCCTTTCAACACCGGAGGGTCCCAGGTGCTACTGTGATAGCGGATACCAGCTGACATCTAACAGCGTGAATTGCTCTGGTACTGAATAATTGAAAGACCTCGTGAAATTTCAGGAAAGAAACCGACTCAGGTCGTGTTGACGCATATGCATTACCATATGTTACGATACGTGTTCACGTTTTATCAGCTTAGTTTTCGAAATGCCATCAGCAATTGAGTCCTCGAATAAACTCAGCATTATTCCAGAGCGTTGTTAAGACTAAGCAACGCCGGTCTGCAAAAGGCCAGGGAAAGTTACTCAATATAAAGAATAAACCCAGGAGGTTAAGTTAACATTTGTACGTGTATATTAATGGTTTTTCTGTAGTATGTATTTTTTTTACTTTTGTCATGCTTCCCTCGATTAAAGCGGGTATGCCCAGTGGCATTGTGTTGACAAACTTGAGCTTCCAGTGGTGATCCCCATTTGACCCCGCCGCCAAAAAATAGGGCCTTTCATTCCCAGGCACCATTAAGAGGGCTGCAGATNTGACAATTCTATTCCGACACTTCTACCATGGCGCTTCTGATGCAAGTGTCAGAAAAGAAGCGCCGCGGTAAAACCGCAGAAGTGCCATGCCAATTCTGTTGTGACGTTCCTACCTGGGTGCTTCTGATGCTGCAAGCATCAGAACAGAAGCACCACAGTAGAAGTGCCACGGCAATTCTGTTGTGACGCTTCTACTGTGGCACTTCTGATGCTAGAAGCACAAGTGCCATGGTCAGACTGACTAAACACGAAGGATATATGAAATCCTTCGTGTTTAGTATCATTCTGTCGAGTTTTTTGCATGGAATGCAATAATTTCAAAATTAGAAAATTTGAAACAGTTTTAAAAATGTTCTCTGTGTTTTCATTTGACTTTGAATTCAAAGAAAGCGGTTTCCTTTACGCTCAGGAAAAAAAAGTTGCCCCCTGACCCACAGAAAAAAAGACACAATGGGTCCGAAAGGGTAACCACGGGAGGGACAATGAATTCAATAGGGGCCAGGGATTTGGTAGCCGTCTAGTGGTGGTAGCGGTCACCCTAGTACCCCACTGCCTTTTCGCCCCTGACATCCCAGAAAATTTCTCACGACACCTCTAAAATTAGCGAATTTATTTTTCAACGTTCGGCGGAAGTTGAATGTGAAAAAATGAACATTTATCTGCCGATACCACTTTCCGCTGAAAAATGCTGCATTCTCAGATATCAACGAGTGCGACACACTAGGCTGGTGCAGTCAACAATGCATAAATTCGCCAGGAGGATATGAATGTCATTGTCGGCCGGGATACGCGATTGATCCGAAGAACAATCGGACATGCATAGCTATGGGTGAGACAGAGCAAAATAATACGGAAGAATCCGCTCGAAAATAATTCTTATTCAAGGACACGAGCCGTTGTTGCTCTTGGCTGCTGGCACTGAGATTCGGGGCTTGTATCTGCGAGGAGACCAGTATTATTTCCAAGTACACGAAAGTCCACGAGAAGTGAGCCAGAGGCATCTAGCAGTGTCTCCCGTTATTGAATATTATTTGTTTTCCAGATTATCAGCTTGTCTTTCGATGGCGTAGATAGCATGGTTTACTGGTCCACCGCAACCCGGGGCTACGAAGGGGTGTATCGCAAAAAGCTGGACGGAACTTCCAAGCCGGAGCTCGTTGCTTCTGGCGAGTCAAGATTTATCCATACTGTTTTATGCGGCAGATATTGTATATGCTCCTTTGTGTGCCATTCTTTCCACAGGACTGAGTATGCCGGAGGGTATTGCCGTGGACTGGGTCGGACGAAATGTGTACATTACAGATGCGTTGGATTCGGAAGTGGAGCGTGCTGGGTCATCGCGCAAGAAGCAGCAACCTGGAAAAGCTCCGAGGATAATAGTCTGCTCTGCTGATGGAGCTATGTGCCACGTGTTGATTTCGAATGGTTTGCAGAAACCTCGAGCGATTGTGCTCCATCCTGAAGAAGGGTGAGGAAAAAAATATCTGAATGTATTAATTTCCTGACGGGGTTCTAAAATCGTTGCTGCACACTAAAGCTCTTGAATCTGTCGGAGAATTTAAAAAACTGAATCTGCGCTTTTTGGCATTATCTGAACGCGAAGAGAAATTTTTCGTCCTCTCATTTTTGCGATGGATGCAAGAAACTTTCCCTTTTAGATAGTATTGTGCGTATTCCCTGCAATATGAATTATCTTGCTGGTTTTACAGCTTGATTTCTTCTGCATGAAAACTTTTAGAATTGTAAGCTGAATCGGTATTGCTAGTACGCAGTATTTCTGTATTTTTGGATACAGATAAAAAATGATCAATACGTATACTTCAAGACGGTTGTTAGTCATGGATTGATTTTTAAAATCAACAGCTAAGCTTGACCTTGATCTTATTACGAAGTCATATCAACCTCCTCCCAAGGATATTTAAACTTATTTTATTATCAGATTCAGGATTTTATACTCAATTGGTGCTTGCAGAAAGATTTGACATTCGAGTCTGACTTCAATCAAGGGTAAATAGAGAGCTTAGAAATCTTGAATGTTGATAAATACTTGAAAAATATATCGATGGATCGTTGAAATAGTTGAATTGTTTTCAAGAGCTTAACATCACTTCGATGCGATTTGCCTTCGCAGGATCCTTTTCTGGTCGGACTGGGGCTCAAGCCCACGGATTGTTAAAGCGGGAATGGACGGAACTGAAGTTTATCCCCTTGTCACCACCGACGTAACTTGGCCAAATGGTTTGGCGATTGATTACCCTTTGAACGATTTGTACTGGGTCGACGCCAAACTTGATCGCGTCGAAGCGATTCACATAGATGGCCACAATCGACGGGCATGTCTTATCGTACAGCTGTGTCCCGTCTCTTGCTAATAATGTCATTTTATTTTCCAGGTCGTACTAGATTCTTACGTTCGACATCCATTTTCCTTGTCGGTTTTTGAAGACACGATTTACTGGAGCGATTGGAGTCGCAAGGAAATTCGTAGCTGCAACAAGTTCACAGGCAAGGATCGCGACGTGCTGGTGAAAACCAAGGGGCATTTGCCGATGGGAATTCACGTTCATCATCCAGTTACTCAGAATCCTGTAAGTTGCTGTTCGATTTTTCTAATAGCGTATTGAATCAACGCAGTCGCTAATTTGTAGGCTAGTGTTTTATTTGGGTTATCGTTTTGTGAATAAATGTCCCGAGTTCGCGGGACATCTTAAACTCCCGATTTTTTCTTGCTCCTGAATTCTAAATTTCCTCAGGCGCATGCAATTCCATACAAATAGAATCTTAATGAAATATTAAATGTGTATTCGTAGGGTGAAAATCTTTGCAATACCGAAATATATCAACTGAATTCTTGAAACAATTTCTAGGAATAGATATGCCTCAATCGGAATCTTCATTTTCCTCATTTGTCCTGATCTCTTATCAGAAACATTGATTCTACATGGCCGCATTTTTTTGTCGAGTTCTTGCTCTGAAATCGCTCTCGAATCCTTTAATTTATTTTTCTTGAAAAAAAATTCCGCGGCCTTCAATAGTTTTACTATTATGAATTTGAGGGAATCGTTGTCTCTATGGAATGACAGAAATATTCCAATCATGCGAAAAGAGAATTTTTTTGTAGGTCGCATCTCCGTGTTGGGGATCTCAATGCAGTCATCTTTGCGTTATTGGTCCAGGGCACACGTATAAATGCGTGTGTCCTCTGGGATTTGAAATCTCGGACGATTCGAAAACTTGCAGAGGTGAGCCACGTTCGGTGAAACGCGATAAAGGGAAATTTCCTTTCGGGTGACCTCTTTCGCCTTTTCGTAGCTGAAGAGCCCCAGGAACACATTATCCTATCCGCTGACAACGAATTACTGGTGCTGACCCCGCAAGAAATCGGTCGAGACGTGCTGCAAAGTTTTCACATCCCTTCGTTGAATCGAATCGGGGCTTTGGACTTTGACCAGCTCACGGGTGACTCATTTTGTCGCCGACGTCGCGGAAAATGTGTTCATTTTACTCCTTTCTTCAGGCATGGTTATCGCGAGTGACGTGGGGCTCGATGGCATCTATGCTGTATCAATGAAAGAACGTGCGGTTTGGCCGATCACGAGGGGACACATGGATCAAGTTGAGGGGCTCGTTGTCGACTCCTTGGGCCGAAATGTTTACTGGGTCGATGCATTACGGGGAACTGTCGAGGTTGCTCGTCTTCCTCGACGCCTCCGTGCTGCAGTCAAGAAATCTGACGTCAACACCTCTCGAGCGATTCTCGTCGATGGTCTTGAGCACCCGACGGATTTGGCTATTGTCCCATTGAAAGGGTGAAATGCACACGGCTTGTCCCCGGAAATCGAAAATGATCCCTAGGCTCAATTTCCGACAAGATCTTCGTTCCCTTGCGGCGATAAGACTTCATCTTGCAATATATATCTTCCCTTAGCGCAACGGAATATTACGGAGGAGAATGTCGGAGAACATAATTGTCGTCAGAGAAAAATGACTCGAAAAAAGTCGGAGACGTTGTCATTTATTTTCACCTTCTGGTCTTGAAAATTCTGATAACTGTACATGAAAAAATACTGTTCTAATTTTCTGCGCGGAATATTTCATGCTCAATGCTCTACTTACGAATACTCTCATTTTTCACTCGCTACTGTCTCCAGATGACTTTTTTTTTACCCTGCATACACTTTTTCCTCCCGTTTTGTAACATTTAATCGTCTCCTATTTCGAATCGTATGTAAATTATTCTCAATTTTCTGAGCGAATTTGCTTTCAACGTATTTTTTCTAGATCTCATTTTCCCATAGCACTAGTTAATTCCTTGAATTTAAAATAACAAGGGTGTCCTGTTACATAACCAAATAATTTATTTGCGATTTTTATTTTCAGACTGATGTTCGTATCAACAACCGGAGATCATTCTCATATCGACAGTTTCACGATGGACGGAAAAAATCACAAGCATCTGGTGGAAATCAACGTTGGTCATCCTGTCTCTTTGTGCTCGGATGATGACATGCATCGAATATTCTGG